ACTTTTACGAATACTGTGAATTCGGACACACTACTCATTTTTACCTACTGATTCTCTTCTACTATAGTAAGAAAGTATATTTGGATGTCGGAGCACCTATGCCTACTTCCCATCTGACTACTATGCATATTCATTCTATATAAAAAGAACTTTTTTTGCCATCTCAAAGTCATTCCTCATGAAATGTAGAGACCAGTCAACTCATCTTTAGTTATGTGCCGCTTTATAAAATACAGACTGTTTCAAACTATAGCGTCACAGTAATAAGCTGGACAATAACAGAATTGATGCAAGCTTCATCAAATATGACACAAATTCAAATTCAGCTATAAGCAGCTCTACAATATTGCAAAACTCAGACAGCATGCCATTTTGGATCCCAAGACGTCAGTTATATGACGTCTTTTGACCATACGTCAACATCCGCCTTTTTAGGGTACCCTTAAACGTAGGTTTGATGACGTTATCGAATCCTAACCCTACCCGAGACCTTAACCTACCCCTAAACCTACCCCGTCATCTAACCAACGTTAAAGGTAAAACGTCAGTTGTATGACGGCCCAGGATCGTCATGTAACCGACGTTTAAGGGTAAAGGCGGATGTTGACGTATGGTCAAAAGACGTCCCAAGACATCAGTTATATGACTTCTTGGGATGAGACTGTGTTACTTTAAACTGATGGAATGTTGTATTGTCCTATCAGGGTTCAGCATTGGTTTTGTGCCAAATTTCTACTCCCTGTCAGATTATATGGCATAAAACTGGAGATTCCTGTTTTAAAAAAAAAAATATGATAAAGATAGTCTAAATTTCACATTGCCATGTCATAACCCAAATCCTACTCTTAGCAAACAGAGAATGCATATTTATAATCTGGTGACTCATATGTGCAACCATATGTAGATGGCAACCGCATCCAGACAGTCAACTCCTCACACATCACTGCCTAGTCTGTCAACTTCGTTCTTTATCTCACCTGCCCGCATAACAAGCTGCCTAGCTTGATCGATATGCTAGCAGATGTGCAGGACCCAGCCTTCCCTGCAGGACACGCGCATAGAGGCATAAAGTGTGAATCTTTTTTTATGCTATTACACAGATCACATCAGTATGCCGCAAAGAGAATCACGGCTCCAGCTCTAGTACCACCCTCAATGTGGTCTGTTGCGGAACAGGGGGGTGAAATCACCTTATTGAAAAAAAAAAAAACCTATACAAAAGACAAATAGTGGAATCACAAGCTTGAAAAAGACTTCTGGGGAATGGATAATGTGATGTAGCACAAAAAAAGTGACCTTTCAATGTTGAAAAATTTTGTATTCTTCTGATGGAAGGGAGCTGAAGTGCAATACTAATTTACAGTCGCTTTTGAAGATGTGTGTGTTTTATATAAACACATATATGGGACCTTATAAAGTGTGTACACACACACCTTAAAAGGTCCCATTAGTAAACATTATTATAAAATATGCATTAGTAAATGCTGAAATTAACATCAAGATTAATTAATGTTTTAGAATTTTTCTTTTTTAGATCATTTTAACTAACATGATTAACTAATGTTAGCAAGCGGAAAGTAGTTGCACACATACATAGATTACATATATGGTCACACTTTATATTACATGTAGCCTAAGGGCCCTATTTTAATGATCTGAAACGCAAGTATCAAGCGTGAAGCGCAAGTAACTTTGTGGGCGGGTCTTGGGCGCTGTTGCTATTTTACCGGCGGGATAAATGACTCTTGCGCCCGAGGGCAAGTTTAAAAGGGGTTGGTCTGAAATAGCTTCATTATTCATAGGTGTGGTTTGGACGTAACGTGAAATAAACCAATCAGAGCACCATATCACATTCCCTTTAAGAGCAGGTGCGCATGTTGCATGGCGGATTGTTATTATTATGGCGAATTTACCAGGTAAGGTGATTTCACAGTCTTCAGATATTTTTTTTCCCAACCCGATCTCACGACCAAGTCGTACGAATTCGACGAATGATTAAAAAGTGGCTAATTCGTAACAATTCATACGACCTCACTCGTACGAATTAATACGATTTTGATAAATCGTACATATTTTACGAATTGGCCCATTCGTATGAATTCGTACGAATGACCTACCCCTTCCCCCGCCCCTAAACCTAACCATCACGTGGGTTTAGACAAATCGTACGAATTAGTACGAGTGAGGTCGTTCGAATTAGTACGAATTAGCCACTTTTTAATCATGCGTCAAATTCGTACGAATTGGTCGTGAGATAGTGTTGTTTTTTCCTGGTTTTTGACGGACAAATTTGTTAGATGTCCTTATATATATATATATATATATATGTGTGTGTGTGTGTGTGTGTGTGTGTATTGCCACTATTTTTCCGGGGGTCAACAGTGTAATTATAGATCTAGTTACAGAAATTACATGCAGGTATTTTACATTAATTTAAAGTGGGAACATGTATCTATGCAGCATATAGGCCTAAATAATTATGTACATTTTGTATCTGCCATAGACATCTTAAGACTCAGGCTTTAATATTAGGTTGAGCTCATGACACACACACATAATGTAAATGTATTTGTACATATAATTTTTTTTTTTAATAAATATTTATTTAAGTGTTCCCAGAGGGTGATCTTGATTTAGTGGAGAGGTCATGTGGGCCCCTTGGCATTTGCATCAAATTTGAATAAATCCTTTAAAATCACGTCAAGGTGACAGTTGAAGCGAAACGTCATATGAGGAAAGCTTTGAAAGTGTGTTATTCCAAATTATGCTTGTCTAAACTTATAATAGCATTCACTTTTGCATGGTCAAATGGCTCACACAGGAATAGTCTAAGCATGTTGTACACCTGATGCAGATTGAAAAAGAAAACAAGACAACAAGGTACTGATGCAGTTTGTGGAGTTCATTTTTTACTTTTGTTGTAATAGTTCTTGTCTAGATACGAAAATATCCTGAATATTTAGTAGGTTTTGTCATGTCATTCATTTTCAGACCTATATGGCAAACAAATCTTTTAGAGTCTAAATTAAATTAAAATAAACCAAAAACAGTCAACAAACCTTTTCATTAATAATTATATGGACATTAGGAGAAATCTTTTAATGGAGAAAACCTGGAGAATATATACATTTTTTTCCCAGAACATTTCACTACATCCAATTGTGAAAATTACTTATGCCCTAGCCTGGTTAAAACCAAATCATTCTCAATTGCAACTGAGTTATGGTCTGACAAAGCTTCATAGAGAAATCATTTCCAAAAGGGCGTCACCAACGGACGTACTAGCTCAAATGCCTCTGGACGCAATTGGATAGACCTAAAACCAATCAGAGCGATGAAGGAGATGATGCATGCAGAGAAACGTTCGTCTGTTACAGAACAACTTAGTTTGAATAAACGAGCAAACACTGATTAGCTACTTGCTCTACGTTTATTTCAAATTAACAGCAAGACAACTAGAAGTGAATGTGCTTTCCATAAAATAAATCACACACAGTAAACAAAACATTAACAAAAAAACTTTACAATGAATTTAGACACGCATTGAGACGTACATGCTCAGGCAGATTCGACTCTAAGGCCTCGTTTACACTGTCAATGAAATGTGACCCAATTCCGATTTTTTGCTCATATGTGACACAGATCCGATTTGTTCTATGACAGTGTAAACAGTAAAAAAACAAAAAAACAAAACGCATGCATTCGGATATTTCCAGATCGGTTTCAGGCCTCATTCATATGTGGAAATAAATCGGATATGTGCCAATGCGACTGTCAAGTAAACAGGCAGATCGGATCTTCTGAGGTATTAGGCAACGTCTCCGCAGTTTAATGACGAGAGAAACCCCCGACGTGCTTCTGCAAAGGGATGGATGGCCGACGATACGGTCTGTACGGGCACGGGAGGTGTTTTCACAGGATTGTAAATGTGCCGAAAATTGTTCATTTACATTTATTTTAAGCATTTAGTAATTTATTTGTAATAAACACTTTAAGTGGGCTATTTAAAACGTGCTAGGACTATTAACATGCTCAATTATATTTTTAAAACAGACGCGCAGAGAGTCTCCTGTACACAACTCCACTGTCAGTGTTGTGTAAGTACAGGCTCTAGGCAGTTTTTTTTTGTGTTCATTTACATTTGCTGTCTCTGTGCAGGCTCTTTATTGTATGACAGTGAACATCCCAGTAATCCCTTTATTTTAAGGCTAAATGTCCCATAGATCGGTCCATTGCAGTACAAATAAAAGCAGTATCAATAATGTCAAACATGTGAAGTGCAGTCAAGTTCGGGTGTGTATGCTGTTTTAACGAGTGTTCTCACCGATACGCGTGTGATTTGTGGAGTTTTAACGAGTTTTATAAACATTGTTTCTTATTCAAAAGTGGTATTTTGCAACTTCGCATATCGCAGAGCATGAAGCATATTTCGTGTTCGTCCATGTGTGCAAGATAATTTAACACTTTAAGCATGCGCGATATGTTTCAGATACGGCAAGTGTAAACACATGAATTGGATATGGGCCACAATTTAAAGAACGTGTAAACAGGCAGTTAAAAAAATCAGATATAGGCAACAAATCCGAATTGGGCATCAAGACCTGCAGTGTAAACGAGGCCTAAGTTGTTCATCCTCGGACGCGGCACCGTGGGTGCTGTTACAAAAAAAGCACCAAGCGAAACGGGGTCTTGCCGGTCTTGCGCACCGAAGAGGTCATTTTTGCCGCGCACACCGTCACACCCCTAGTTCCTTGCTGCACTGTCGTCCTCGTGTAAAGCCCGCACAACGTTTCTGATTGGTGCTGTGATTTCGACGGGTTAGAAATGGGCTTGAATGAGCTCTTTGCTAAAATTGCAGATTAAATTGCAGAGCAAATCTAAATTTGTCGGAAGTTGTCTGGGTTTTCCCAGGCTACTTATGCACATAAATGATGCTAAATTTTGGGTAACGTGAAATTTTTTACTGTTATGATGCTGCAAAGTCAGATCTGGATTCCTACCGTCTACACAAGAGGGTTTGTTCCTTGTTGTGCCGGCCACTTTTCCCGGTAAACACGAGCACTTGACCGTCTGGGAGCGTTCTTCAATGCGGTTCTTGTTGCAACATCGGTGCGCTGCGATGACCTCACATGTTCCTCCCTCTGTGGATACAGACACACACGTACATCAGTGGCACATATGAGATACTCCACCTTCGACATAGTGGCAGAATAAAGTGCCAGAATAAAAATGCACATATTTTAGTTTGATCTGAAGCAGTTTGATACATGACATGCATTAGAAATACACATTTTTGGTAACACACACCAGAGATTCAAGCAAATCAGTGACAAGTACACATTTGAGTCAGCAGTGAGAGAAGAACACGATTTCACAGAATCCACGGCCTATAGAAGTAAGGAAGGTTTCTTTGAACTTTTAGCTTCCATACTTCCATAAATATGACAAAAATTGAGCAGCAAGAGAAGCCTCATTTCTAATAGCGTGTGGGTTGTGTATGAGTAAAAATGGTTTCAGCTTACTTTACAGCAGGAGGGTCTGCCAAATATTATTCCATATAATATTCAAATAATAAATTCTCACAAGGACCAAAAAATAAAATATAAAGCAAGCATAAATACATCATCAAGTTACCTCCAGCCAAAGCAAAAGTTAAGAAGCTTAATTTCTTTACATTTTAAATATTTCATTATCCCACACTATATATAGGCCTACTACATAAAATATAAAATAAAAATATAACTACAACTTAAAATAAAAATATTCCATCAAATTAAATAAACTCACATCATATCACTCTGCTTTTATAGTGACCCAGTTATTGGTTTGGTTACAATTTATTTTGAGGTGTCCTTGTTACTATGTAATTATACATTAATTACTGTGTAATTACACAAGCACTGAGTAGTATTAATTAATAACATACTTACTATAGGGTTAGAGATAGGATTGGGGCTTAGTTTAGGGTTAGTTGCATGTAATTATGTTAAACGTACTGTTATTATTACTAAAGTAAGTACATGTAACATGTGTATCATTGATTTCACTTATATTCTGTTCAGAAACCTTACACTTTCCCACCCTTTGATGATCATCCGTCATTAATTATCAACAAGATTCAGGTTCTTTTCAATGGTCATTAAAAAAGACATACAGCATGAAAGTGATAAAAAAATTCCTATCGAAATATTGATCCTCATTCTATATATATTCTTATATATATATATATATATATATATCTTTCTCTTCTTTTTTTCATCTTCTCTCAACAACCTCACCATTTCTCTGGTAATTTACTAAATCAGTGGTACAGTATATATCTTTGATTATTACTTTTGCTATACATATATTATATATAATGAGCATTGTTCTACACATATTAGGAAATTTATAATAGAGATATACAGATACTCAAAACAATTTTGCACACATTTTTCACATAATTACACCTACTTTCTGTTTTATGTGTTTTGGATTGATGGTATCATCTTGTTTTGTCTTGTATAAAGCAATAAAAATAAATATTGGATGGGAACACTGAACATATTTTCAACAAAAAATCAAGATTATTTCCTATTTTTGTCGGCATGTGGGTATTTTATAAATATTTACTTAAATCCATGATGGTAAGAAGACGAACGAAAATAAAAAAATAATAAAAAAAAAGACCTGAAGCCTCTGCACCTTAATTAGATTAATGTCCAAAGAACGTCCAAAGTCATCAGTTAAAACAGCATTAGAGCAAATGGGCCTTGTAAAAGCCTCTAAAGAGAAAATTATAGGCTCTTCAACAGACTCTTACTGCTAGGCTTTCTATGTAATTACCATGTATTCTTTCTTCTCCCTGTGTTGCAAATTGCCCTTGAAGCATCCTGATTATCTTATCTAAATGACAAGCCTTTTACCCTTGTGTGATGTAAGCAAGGGCTTTTATGAGGAGCGCAAGAAGGTGAGGGTTCTGTCATGGTTTGGTCTGAGAAGACAATGTGGAGATATACAGTAATAGCATTTACATGACTGAATAGGTAAGACTCATTTTTAATAAAGTGCCTTGAGACAGTGCAATTATGAAGTCCTCGCAATCATTTCCGTGCTATTTGCCCTTCAACATACACACTTCACAGGATATCTGCAGCTGGACAATATGCACTGCGGCAAAGTGCACCCCATTGTGACTAAAAGAGGAAAAAAGAAAGTGAAAAGATCAGAATGCGCAAAAGCTACTAGTGGGTCACCATAACAATAGCGAGCACCCTGAGCTGGGGGATTGATGAGAGGTAATGGTTCCCCCCTCAAACAGTGGGCTCCCAGCTCCGCACCAACACCAAGTAAGGAGAGAACAAGGGAACAGAGGAGCACAGAAGCGCAGGACGGGAAACGAGCAAGAGGGAGGGGAGGGAGCTCTCTCGCTGGGCCAGGCCGGACTGGTTGAGTAATGACATAGCTTTTGGAAGCGCCCCTCTCACACAATTATAAAGTGGCCAGGTAATTCAGCTAGTGGGGTTGCTGCAGCAAGGCCCTTCATCAGATGCTCCCCTTTCTCCAACACCCGAGGAAACCCTCTTTATCTTCCCCTGACAGATGTCCACCCATCCGCTCCCACATCCCTCAATTACACCACAGCTCATACGAGGACACACCAGAGAAATTGCTCCATACTGAGCGAGAACATATGAAGAAGAGGGAAGGAAAATGGAGAAGACGTTGTTCGCCCTATTTTCCACCAGTTTTTTCGAGATGCACAATTTATCAATTCCACATTGATTATTGGCGGATAGTTTTGAATTTAAGTTGATATTGGATATTTGGTAAAAAATGAATAAATTTGTATGTGTACTGGTCAAAATTGGATAAATACAGTGTGGCAATAGTTAGAGATTGAATTTATCAACATCATTCAATATTTGATATACCAGCCAATATTAGCATATATACATATATATATATATATATATATATATATATATATATATATATATATATATATATATATATATATATATATATATATATGAAGAGTTCAGATGCAAAAGCCTCTAAGTGCCATTTGAAAATTTCTTCTAGAATGATCATTTTTATCAATCTTATATATTCAAGTTCAGTAATTTCACTTAAATGACAATTAACAGGTAATCTTCATTACAATTTAAGTGAAATTACTGAACTTAAACATACAATATATATATACATATATATATTTGATATATATATGTTATTCAATATTAAGATATTTTTCTTCTACTTTCAATATTGAATAATAATTGGCTGATATTAAAGATTTTGTCTATTCATCTGTTTTTTTATTTACAGATTTTTTTTTTTTAAATATAACATATATTAATGGATATTTGATCATGCATTTTATCATGCATTTCCCCTATTTTCAATTATCTAATGCTTACCTAACATTAATCTTATAAAACAATAGGCATGATTGAATAAGTCACAGTAAATCTTTAGCAAATCTCAAAATTAATATAAATTGTTGCACATTGTACATTGATTTGGTGCCTAAATCACAAACATTTAAAACCACTGATTGTACCTTTTAGTAATTATAGTATAGTATAGTATAGAAGTTCAATGGTAATTTATGCTATTACTAACTTATTTACTTGGTATATCATTTTAATACTGCCGATTTATCAGTTACCATCTATAACAGAGAGGACATTACAGTGTGCTTTGCTTGATCTCTCTGCCTTTCCAGTCTTTTTCAAACTCCTGCTTCAGGGTCAGAGTGAGCAATGTAAAACTAATAGTGCTAGGCCAGCGATGGACATGATTACCGTTGCTGCGCTGTCATCAGTCCTCACATTTGAGCAGGAGGCATCCATTTGTTCCAGCGTGTTTGGCAACACAAACGTATGTCTCTCATACCTCTCATTAAAACATCAACCCAATCATGCTGACAGGATTACACTCAAAACACTCATGACAGCTCATTCTGGACCTATCACTACTGTGCTCTCTATAAACTCCATAATATCTCAGTGTTCACAGAAATACCTGAAACCACAAAAGATCTCCTCAAATCCCCCAGGACTTTTTTAACCTCTGTTAACAGCTTTAAATGCCTATTGTCTATTTGACTACTCCGTATATGGCTTTCCAATGCTGTTTTATAAGATTCTCATACTTATTCAGTTAGAGTGAATCATTGCTCCCCATGGTGTTTTTATTTGTCATTATTGCGGAATGTGGATTTCCATGAAGATGTGAATGGCTTGCCATGAGGAATAGGTTCTTTACGGCTCTGTCTAGCACTAAAGCTTTAAAATCCAGGCTAGTTCATTGATCCAATACTGGCCCAGCAAACCTTCAGATAAATGTTTTCATCTTGGTTTTTGACTTCAGAAAACGAGCTGAGACACAAAATGAAAAATTGTGGACTTCTACAATATTCACAAACAAACAAACGGCCATTAAAATGTGCTCTGATAAAACGACAAAACATTTACCTGGAGGTAATTGAATGTTTTAGCTTTTTCTCAGCCAGAAGCATTTGTGACCAGAGGGAGACAGTATAACAAGCCTTAAACACAACAAATTGCTTAAACTGTCGACCTGTTTGCCATGCGTCAAAGCACTTAAAGTAGGATATGTTCCTGAAACAACATTTCCACTAACCAATGCGTGTCCTCTAATTTTAGGTATAGAGTCAAAGCAGTGAAAGAAAAGCCAGAACCCAAGTACTGAACACTTCCTTTTTAAAAAAAACACTGTGCTGACCTGGCTTGACCCTTAAATGCATGTTTCGCCAATCATTATTACATATTCGGGTCTTTAACGACCAGGATCTAACACATACAGATCTCTACCTGTCGCGATAATAGAAAATTCCACATATTAGAGTACCAATTACGAATAAAATAAAGCACATTTTGTTACCTTTTGGAGTTTGGAAGGGTTCGGTTTGAGCAGATATTTTATTGCATCATCACTGTCCTTGTCAGAGCTCATTTTCCTAGTACTTTCAGCACCTGGCTCACTCTGTGATCCCAAACATATTTTAAAACTATCATTTTCAAGATCTTCAAAACAATATTTTGATCATTGATTATATTTCTCGCATGAAATGTGTTTAATTGAGGATTGATCGTCCCAATGTTGACTAAAGGGTTTAACATATGTTACCACA